GGGGTAGCTTGTCCTCAGGGGGAGGATGGCTCTTCATCTGATACCCAGTAACCTAAATTAGAAAGTGTTTATGGAGATTCTCCAGGTTGTCCCAAAGGTGCTTTTTTTTTTTTTTTTCCCCAAGAGGCAACTGGACTTTCTGGTTTTTCTTTGAAGACCTTTCGCTTCTCATCCAAGAAGCTTCTTCAGATCTGGCTGGATGGTGAGGAAGGGAAATCACAGGAAACCAAAGATAAACCAGAAAGTCCAATTGCCTCTTTGGATATAAATTGGAAGGCTGAACAGAGAACTTTTCCTCTGCAAGATGCTGCTTATTTTATCTATTTATTCATTAGATTTATATCCTGCCTTTATTACTCTATAAGTACTTTAGAGCATTGAACATACTTAACACTCCTTCCTCCTCCTTTTTCCCCCCATAACAACCATCCTGTGAGGTGGGTTGGGCTGAGAGCAGGAGGGACTGGCCCAAAAGTCACCCATCCGGCTCTCATGCCTAACACAGGACTAGAACTCACCATCTCCTGGTGACCTGCCCAAAGTCACCCAGCCGGTTTTCTTGTCCTTAAGGTGGGACTAGAACTCACCGTCTCCCGGTGATTGACCCAAAGTCACCCAGCTGGCTTTCATGCCCAAAGCAGGACTAGAACTCCCAGTCTCCTAGTTTCTAGACCGCCGCTTTCACCACTGGACCAAACAGGCTCCGACAGGACGATGCCCAAACTGACCGCGCCATGCCTTTTCTACCTCTCCCCCCCCCTTCACCAAAGGACGAACATGGCTTCGTCGCCCGCGAGTTCAACCGGAAGTACCGAATCCCAGCCGACGTGGACCCCCTCACCATCACCTCCTCCCTCTCCTCGGATGGCGTCCTGACGGTGAATGGACCAAGGAAACTCAAGGGAATCCCGGAGCGCAGCATCCCTGTCATGCGGGAAGAAAAATCGGCCCTCCTCCCAGGACCAAGGAAATAAAAAGACCCCCAGAGACCCTGACCCTTTTTTTTTAAATACCAAAGAAAAAAGCCTTTTCACGGGACCGAAACGGCCAATCGATTCTTCTTTGTTTATTCCCCTGTGCAAAGATGGGCACGAGAGTTTCTTTAGTAACAAATAAACAGCGGGCCAGCTTCTCCCTCAGTCTTCATGGCCCGCTTCAATCTTAGCTAAGGCTCGGTCCTGAACGGAGGGACTAATCCAGCTGTGGAACTGCGAAGAGAGTCACACACAGAACTAGGAAGGAACCAGAACGGAAACACGAAGGGGTCGGGGACTCTCCTGGCGGGCATTTCTTTTATTTTAGGAACGGCTGCCCATCTTGGTGGTGGGGCAAGGAGACCCCTCCCTGGCAGAGATTTTCCAGCCCCAGGGGATCCTGGAGCAGCGGCCTACTGCTTCAGCGGCGTCTCCGCTGCCTCCTTGGGCTTCCCTTCGGCCAAGGAGCAGGCTGCCCTGCCGTGCGGAGGCTCGTAGTCGATCATGTAGCACGACCGAGCGGTGGGCTTGATCGGAGGAGGCTCCAGCTCAGGCTGGTGTCCGGGGAACCAGTGAGGCTCTCGCGTCACCCCTAGGAGCACAGAGAGGGCGGGGAAAGGCAGGAAAGCAAAGCGTGTGTATGTGGGTGTGGGTGTGGGTGTGTTGCAACACTTAACCCACACACTGGGCTCCCTTTGCAACAGCCCAAGGCAGCCCTGGCCTGGCGTCCTCCTAACGAAAGGGGACCTCCCCCTAACTAATCCCCCTAACGAAAAGGACGGCCTGAAAGGCCAATAAGCATGCCCTGCTGTGCAAGAATTTCAAGGCAGGTAGTCCTTGACTTACGACCACAACTGAGCCCAAGATTGCTATTGGTAAGCGAGACAGATGTTAAGTGAGTTTTGCCCCATTTGATCAGCTTCCTTGCCACCATTGTTAAGTGAATCACCGCAGTGTTAAATTAGTCACACGGTTGTTCAGCAAATCTGGCTCCCCATTGATTTCGCTTGTCAGACGGGCATCATGTCACACACACACACACACACACACACACGGGACATGGCAACTGTCACAACTATGGATCAGTGGCCAAGGTTGTACCCGTGACAGTGGGGAAAGCTGCAACGGTCATAAGGGTGAAAAACGGTCGTAAGTCCCCTTTTTTCAGTGCCATCGTAACTTCAGACGGTCACTCAACGGACAGCCGATAAGTCAAGGACTGCCTGTAGTTGGCTGCCTGCTTTTGTATCTTCCTGGCTTTGGAAAAAAATCACACCTGGACCCTTATGCCAGCCCAAGCATTTGGTCTCCTGAGGGGGGGGGGCTTAACTGGAATCCCCCAACCCAAAAAACGCTGGGAAAAGGGAGGAGCAACGGCTCCCTTGCACCCCTGGGTGTGTTTCACTGATTGTGCCAGGGTGCGCCTGAGGTCCCCTCCCCAGGGGTGGGATTCTACCGATTTGCTCCGGTTTGAGCGATCCGGTAGCTCCGACGATCAGCTGTTGGGCCCACCCGCTTGCCCCAGTTCTAGCCTGTGCTTTATATCCTGGTTTCAAAGCTCGTCTGATTCACACAGAGTTTGCTGGAGAAGGTCAGTAGCAAATGCTCTGCATGCACAAACCGGTTGTTACACCAGCTGAATCGCACCCCTGCCCCCTCCCGCGTCTTGGCTTGGGATATCGACTCTGATCTGAGAAGCCTTGCGGGGGTCTCTCAGCTCACACACTACCCAGGCTTGTCTCTGTCCCATTTCGATTCTCCTGCTAGGAATCTTTTGGAGGTGGGAGAGGAAATACAGATGCCCTGTGGCTTCTCC